TTTATAAGCTTAGTTGTTTCTTGAATAATTATACTTTACAATTTTGTCATATTCTGCTTATCCGTTATAATGTTGAATTTTATTTGAAATCGATGATAAGGAGAAAAGTATTTTATAATAAAACTATAATAAGAAACATATATCACTTTCGTTTCCATCGAACTTAATCTTGTTGCAGTATTTATCATCTCAAGTTATGTGAACTTAGCATGGTATTTGAACTATCAAATTTAATGATGGGTAATGTACCTATTAGTATCATAACAAGTGATTTATCAACAAACTCAAACTGGTAAGTTTTCTTTAAACTTTATAAATGCTTTAGCATTATTCAATTTTTGGAATTTCTTATCTATCAATATCTGCTATAGTATTTTGTATAAATTTTAAGCTAAGACTTTGATTTTTTTTCTAGCATTATAAAGACATTACTGTTCATTGTTGCCAGTAGTAGAAAGAGCAATGAGCTTTTGTGGGCTTATGTAAGTAGTGCCTGATCAAAATTCAAAGCATTAGTAAGAGCTGGTAATTAGGTCTTATCATGTCCTGTTTTTGTGAAATTGAAATTCATAATTAGTTCAAATTTGTTGTATTTGGAAATTGCTCGATTCAGCCAATTTCCAAATACACTGTAATAATTATTGAAGTAGGCCTGTACTCATCATGTGTTGCTGCCACCATCAACTTCTTCTGTCGCTAGCCTTCACATTGATTTCGTTTTACACAACGAAACATAAAAAAGTAATCTCCTGCATTTATTTTTACTTAACCAAACAAGTATAAAGTATTTCAAATATACCACATTTTAGTTATATTGCATTCCAAATACACTACATTCCTTTTTAATTGCGATCTCATAATTACCGATTTTATCCCACTTTAAATTTAGTTGACAAGTTCAACTATATAGTTTTAATTTGTCCCTCTTGATGACCTATCTCTAAAGAGTAGAAACTTATGACTTAAATTTAACCCTCTTATCATAGTGCAATTTTTTTCAAACTCTTTTTTTATACTTCTAAAATATAACACCATAGTTAATATTGCTTGTTTTATGGTTTAATTTTCTCTTACAACCATTTTACAATATATATATATATATGTATGTATGTATATATATATATATGTATGTATATATA